TTCGTGTGAGCAACTTTTGTCTTTTTTAATTCTTCTAAATAGAACAACATATGAACTTGAAAATTTGCAGGACAACAAAACATTCTAACTAGAATTTGAGAAAAAACTTTCAGATTTTTTCGTCGATCATATATACAAAAAAATAATGGTTTTTACTCAAAAAATCTCATTTTGTATTTTTATGTCGGACAAAAAAATTTAGAAGTTTTTTCCCACATTGTAGTAAGAATGTTTTGTTGTCCTGCAAAGTTTGAAGTTTATATGTTGTTTTGTTTTGAAGGAACAAAAAAATTGTGTGTTGTAAGTTAGTTGTGTAGCACGGATAAGGGAAAGGATAAGAGGTGTTCAGAAGTCGTCACGGGCCTGGAAAAAAAAACCTATGTAATTATAGCTTACTGATTTTCCACACCCCGGGCCTGGGCCCTGGGTGCCCAAGGCCCAGCTCCGCCCCTGCATGCAACAGCTGCTATTAACCATGGAATGGAAGACGGATCATCCCCACATTAATCATCCGGGCAGGCATGCATGGGACCGCTGGCATTAATTAAAAGTGTGTACTTAAGCCGATGTAAAAGCAGACTAGTTGCTCGTCTTCAAAGCGCGGCAATTCGACTACTGAATGGCTCCCTCGATGCTTTACTTCTTACTTACCAACATATATACTCGGTACAATTCGTAGGCCAAAAGACATACAAAAGATGTGATGGATAGTGAGGAAAGTGGAAGAGAAAGGAGAAAACAAAACAAAAGGAAGAGAAATGCATGGGAATCAATTTAATAGGTGATGCTAGTTTGAGAAATAATGGTTACAATAAAATAAACAAAGAGGTGTATATGCTTTTTGTTTCTTGGAAGAAAACCTAGTTTTATTTATTCAATGTGATCCAGGACATTTAACATGCACAATGACACACGGGTAGAAAAGCAATCCTCAAATCATGATAAATCCAATCTATAGCATATATATTGCTCTCATTCAAGAATTCCACTACATTGCATTTGGCTCAACAAACACATAACCTTTGGATTCCATCATTAACCAGAAAACAATGTACAGAAAAAGGTACTTCTCATTCATGATCCTGAATTAGTTCAAGCTCCCTGCTTTATGCCTCGGTATCTATCTATCTATATGTATGCGTACAAAACACCTACTCCCTCCCTTCTAAAATAAGTGTTTCAAATTTTTACTAACCTATTTACAAAGTTTGTACAAAGTTGGCACTTATTTTGGGACGGAAGGAGTACTTTACAAGCCAAAAAACCCGGTAAAAAGAGCATAAAATCCAGGGCGGCGACTAGCACGCCAGCACACTTGCAATGGCCTCTTTTCTTCCAAAACCGAAAAGCATGATCCAAAAAATACCGACGACTTGGGAATCCAGAAACTCATTCATTCATGCACTCAAATCGAATTCATTCCTTTGTAAAGCATCCAGCTCATTCAAAATCATCCTGCCAAGACAACATCTTCCACAACAACAAAAATCAACAACAGGAAGCCAACTTAGCTCTTCACCACAATTCTAAAAACAAGAAGCTATTTCAACACCACAACAAACTAACTGAGAAGTCGATGAATCTAACAGCCAGCTTCTGGCCACAACCCAGATAGAAAGCCACTTGAGCATGTCAAGTTACCTCTGTGGCCCTACCAACCACAACTTCCAGCCTTTTCTTTTCTTTGGACAGATATGCTCTCCCCTGTAATATATCCAAAGAAAGAACCAAGTCAGGTTTTTCTATGAACACAAGACAAGACAATGCCAGACTACACTGCTCCACCACAAGCCAAATTGGCAAGAATCAATCAAGGACCAAAGCAACAAGATCAGATTACACATACTAGAAATGTAAAGGAAAATCAACCTGTATTCTCACCCTTCGGAGGATCAGATTTCCAGCAGCTAACTGACCTTCCATCATCTCAAGCATAGACTGCGTCGCCATCCTCGCCATCATTCCAGACCACTCCCTGGGTAGAGAGAAAGAAAGATTAATTCCATTGTACTAGGCGATGCAATAGTGTACTCGTGGCTACATAAATATAAGTAACCACATTACTGATATGATGCATGGAACAAACAGTATAAAATTGGCTGTCGTTACAGAGTAAACCTGTTCTTGTTTCCTTCCTCTAATGATATTCATTAATATTTAGCAAAAGAAATAAAAACGCCCGCACCCTTCAATTACCACAAAAGAATGGCACTTCAGCCGACTGACGTTCCACTGGAAGATTAAAACAAGCATCTTAACAAGTTACTGTTTTTAACTGTAGCTACCATCATTGAATAATCCTGAAATTTACAGTGAGACTGTGCATGGCTCTTTCTTTCGTGCACTCTGGTGTCATCACAAAGTATATGACAAAACTAATATCTAGCCACCACCAGCAAGATTACATCAACAAAGGAATCAGCAAAGCCAACAAACACACCAACCCTGTAGCACTAGATACATATCAAGAAAAGCTCGCAGCATTAGAGGGAGATTAGCTTTAACATCAAATCTAGCTAATCTTAGAATTCCATAATATTAATTAAATATTAAAGCCAATTGTTAATGCCATTAAGGAGAGACATTTCTCTCAGAAAATAAACGAAGTCCACCATACATTATATTCCAGCAACTAAGACAATAGTGACTAATTCATTTCAGAAAATAAAGAAGCAAGGATAAATGCAACAGTAAGAAACTACATCAACACCAGGAGAGTACAGCAATGCCAAGCAAGTATGGATCAGAGCTTGCAAATCGTCTTATATTGTGGGACGGGAGGAGCAGTTGGCATTTCAATCTCCGTTTCTAAACAGAAAAGCTTAGAGGAAGTTGTGACAATGGGGCATAGTTCAACACAGCAAAGACAAAAAAATAGGATAGACATTACAATTCTATTTGGTAGCCAAAACTGCAAGGACAGAACTACATAGAAGCATGTCGTTCCAAAATGGCCTTTGATGGCCGAGCACCGTGCAGGCCGGAATCAGCGCCGTCTCTACTCTTTGCGATCGCTGCAAGCCATTAAGACCCTACCGTATTTCCACCGTATTCGTACGATTCTCCGCTGCCGACCCCGTATTTGTTTTTAAAATAAACATTGCGGGCACACGTACACGAGCAGTTACAACAGTGCAGCAGAGCATCAATTTGGGTCGCTCATGTACACGATACCGGATTTGTCCCGTCAGCATCTGCCGCTTATCATGTGCCCGGACTGCGGCGAGGTCCAGGTGGAGACCAACATCAGCGGGGTAGAAGGCCCAAACGAGGGCAAGCGTTTCTACAAGTGCCCGATCGACAATGTAAGCTTCATTTTCCTTACTGGATCCATCCACTTTGAACTTGCAAGCGGGCTGCTCTCTGAAGCCAACTCTGATCGTCATGGCAAATACGTTGTTTTTGCTCATTGTGTTGTTGCGCAGGGCCCCGAAAAATGTGGCTGGTTCAAGTGGGAGGATGCATACGCAGCCATCCTCAGGAGGCGTCAAGCAGCTGCGCCGCGGGCGCAGAACGTCGCAAGGCAGCAAGTCGCCAACTATGTGTACCAGGCCCAGATGCCGGTGGTGCAGGAGCCTCCAGTGATGCCGGTGCAGATTCCGGTGCCGCAAGCGCCCCCGGTGCCGCTGGTTCAGGCAAACGCGAGGGGAGGACCGAACTGGTTGACCATAGCTTTGATGGTGAACACCACAGTCAACATTATCTTCACCATGGCTCTCATTGGCCGCACCTGGAAGGCGTCGAAGCTGCTCAAATAGCAAGGATTTCTATCCAAGTTTAGTCCCAGCAGTTCACTGTTTACATTAGTAGATGATTTCCCCACGTGTCCTTGCATGTATGGTCTATTATTTTAAACTAAGCAAGTTGTAATCTGTATCGCTGTTTTTATCAAGAATAGGAAGCTTCAACGAGTGTTTTTTTATATACATGTTCTTGCCGGAGAGCGTGTTTTCAAGCCCATCCCCGAATGCAGGCTGGTAGGTGTTTCTGTAATAAATACGATGAGATGTCACGTCTCACTGGAAAAAGGTGTGCTACCTGAGCACTCAACCAGTGGACTTTTTCTACGCCCCACGTACAACTCTGGCACAGCAGCCCACGGCACCCATGTATTTCTAATCAGCTACTACCATATACATCTGACAGAAAAAGCTTGCACACATGGCAGCGCTCTTCTCCACGGCGCCAGATACCGGCCTGCACGGTGCTCGGCCACCAAAACGCCACACTCCATGTCGTTGCCCTTTATTTGTGTATATAATTTCTGAAATAAAGTGAAAATAGGCACTTACTTTCCATATTATGGCATCAAAGCTGAACCCTATGGATCAAATTGTCATCAAACGGAGAGGATCACATAAAGAAGGGAAGCAGCTAACTGCAAACCCAATAAAGCAAACTCAAACTAAGAACATGACCCTCCGATAAACTCAAAGCAAAGAAAAGAAACAAAGAGGAGCACAGCCTCCGCATGTTCAGACACACACAGTGCACCAAGCAAAAAGTGAAACAAAATAAATGGGCCATCCGATCGGTCGCACGTATCCCAACTCCCAAGTCACCTAGCAAGCAAGCTAAAGTACCCAATCAGAAAGGTCATTTGATCTTCCCTACTCTGTCTATCATGAATACATCATTTAAAAGCTAAAGCGATTATTTTTCTCAATTGTCTGAGGCACCAACTAAGAGAAAATCACACTCGGTAATGGAGGAACAGTTGTAGTATAACGCCGTTGGTTGCCACAAATCATAACTAAGCCAAAACCAACCAGAAAATGATCCTAGTTATAAATTTTGTAATTGAGATGAGACAAATCTGCTCCTCTTACTGCAACGAGGGAGAGAAACGAGCTTAGCATTACCAGGGTTCGGAGGACGACGAACGCGGGGAGGACTACATGGTCAAGCATGATGCAGGAAGGCTTGGTCTCTATTCTCTTCTTATCTGCATCAGGGTGGCCCTAGAGGCACAAATTCTCCTTATCTGTGCCGGGATGGCCTTAGAGGAACAAATTCTCCTTATCTGCGTAAAGCATAAGAAATTCGTTGTCAGTTTGTCATTGTCAAAAAATCAAGTCTGCCATGGCACCTATTCGCTTGCATCACAGAAATACAGAGATAGCCCAAGATAACAAAATTTCAAGCAAAGTGGAACAAGTTCCACACACACACACAAACTTCAAACTGGTATGTGTGCAACCTGACTTGTATTCAACAAAAGAAACAAGTCACACTTTTTTGTTTGAAATGAGAAACAAGCCTCCCTTACATTATTAATCAGCTCAAAGTCTAAGTTGTGTAGATTTGTTGATGCACCAATGATAATTGATAACCACCTTGACATATTCATTTGTAGCCACTTTGGCCCATCAAGTCAGGCATAAAAAAGTTATCTATTACACAAATCTCAATATTTTGTCAGGTTTTAAACATTTTACTGTGCCATCTGATTAGTTTGCAAAAATGCAGAGACGACCACTATAAATAAGCCACGCCACCATAAAGGCCTAGAAATCACCATGGCACGATGGCAAGCACAAAAAATACCACAGCTCAATGGCCATGGACACAGAGAGAGTGAGAGAGCAGATGAGGGAACCAGTCGCTTACCATCAGCTCTGACAGAGCGGAAGAGTAATGGGGGCCACCGAAGGGGAAGGGCGGGAGCCGTCAGAGTGGAAGAAGAATCACATGGGCACACTACATGGCAGTTCTGTCCTGCACCTGTGAGCGTGAGGAAACTGCATCAGGAAACCAAGCCTACCAACTGCACATCACGACTGAAATGAGGCTCATCAAAATCATTGATCAATAAAGCATGGAATGCAACAAAAATGTCTAGGCTTTGTCCAGAGCTACACAAAAATATCCATCCATTGCTTTGTTCAATGCTACAGATCAGTTGTGCACTTGAACCCTACATTTAAACTTCTATATGATGATCACACAGGAATACTTCCTTGAACAGAAGGATGAATCTCGAGATTTCAGATGCATGAAAGATAGAACTTTCTTGCAGGACATCCAGGTCCCTACTAATTAACTTAGTTGATCTTAGATTAATGGGAGCAATTTCTAACCGACTCAAATATTGAATAGCATCTAATCTTTTGTTGACGAATGCACTTCACTGTAAATTAGGTGACATGCCTACCAAATAAAAATTGAACCTAACTTGAGAGGCTACAATGAAAATGGGAGCAACAATGGACCTGAGAGGCACCAACTTTAATTGTTCATTGAAAAATTAAGTGTTGAAGCAGAACTAAAGGTAGCAGCTACAAGTGATTGAAATCTATACGAGTGGGATTTTAATCTTTTTTTTTAATAAGAAAGACCACGAAGGGCCTAGATCTTCATTAAAACTACATCGGTTACAACATAAAGCCCACACAAGGACTCACATAAAAGGAAAATAACACCTAAGCCCTTGATTTTGACAAGAAGGACCCTAAACTAGAACTGAAAATTGCAATCGGGTCCACAACATCTTCTTCCTAGATTTAGACTCGCCGTCGCCGGGGACGCACCACTTGGGGCAACGAGACCATCACAGCAGCTTGGAACCGCTTCGAACTCCAGATAGAAGATGCATTTGCCTCCCCTATCGCTCTTTGGCTGGGAGGAAATACACGGCCGCCATTCGGCCAAAAGGGGCAACGACATGGTGTGGTAGACCGGCTGCCAGCGGGCGCCGTATCTCTACCTGATCTGCCGCTGCTGATATGCTCAGAACCCACCTGCAAAAACCAGATCCTCTAGCATCACCATCGCTCCATCCACCTCCATAGAAGCTTGAAGCAACAGAGGAAGGGGACGAATCCTTCTCCAAATCATGGCAGCAACCGAGCTTATTGGAGGATGCACCGACGATGAATCACGCAACAGGGAGTAGCACCATGCCATCGCCACCAACAAGAGCATTGCCGCTAGCCACCATGCGTTGCTCGTACACGCAGGCGGCGCGCTCCTCATCGGCATATCGCGAGTCCTAGGAATCACGCCCAACACACCAGAACAGAAACTGAACCTACAACTACTATGTACAAGAACACGCCGAGCACCTCCCCCATCACTTCTCTGACGAGCGCTACCGGCGGAGAGGATCCGGGATCAGGCCGGGAAGGAACTGTCTCGAGAGACTCTCAACTGTAGCAGGGGAAGGAGGAGACGTCTCTACCACCCCAAGTGGGATATTAATCAAGTGCACACACACCGTTGCAGAATTGGGAGATCACAAATCAGAATAGCAGGAGAGCATTACACAAGCCAGCTCATAAGGACGAAAAAAAATCTTATTTAAGCCATCAATATCAAATCAGTGCTCGAAAGGAGATAAAGCCATCCACACCGGCATGTTCAAAACTAATATCATAACAAGCACAACTAGAAATACCTAGCATTAAACCTAATGTTCATATAGGACTCCACGTGGCATAGCTTTACAGGAGATACAAGAGCCCTGTGAATCAAACAAGCATGCATTTGTGTTGAGGTGATTTTTTTACCTAGGTAGCAGTGCGAGAGATGGCATCCTCCCACTTTGCTTGTCGTATGCACCCCTACTATTTGGTGTCGACTCACTATAATCTATCCTGGAAATTCACAACATGATACTGTGCTCATTTACACGAGAACTTGCTGGTTTCAAGACTGGAAATCATGAAACTGAAAAGTTCAATTGACCACTGTTGCATACCGGACGGCAAAGAATGAAAAATCATCCAGATGGAGATGAGCAGGTCTGGACATGGGTTTCATTGTTCTGGAAGAAGCACTCGGTGCGGCACCCAATAGAGTTGTGAAGATCAGTCAGGGCGACTCATTCTTTCTTCAACAGAAGAAGGCATGAGAGAGACAGGCGGAGAGGGACAAATGAGCTTACCTATACCACCGGAGTCGATTCTGTCCACCAGATGCGAAGGGATAGCCGAGCGGCACGTTGGGGAAGAGCAGCAGGGGCACGGCTAGGGTTCGCCGCCGCCTCCATCTGGTGGCTGCGCGCCCCCATCACCGTGGATCAACAACATAAATTAGCAACTTAACAGGAGGTTCATAACTTGGGATAGTACTTAAAAAACAAGACATTATTTTGGTCCCCCAGGAAATCTGGCTCAGGCTCTCAGCACAAGCAATCTATAAGCAACAGGAACAATAGAAATGAAATCTAATTACACTTTGATTTATAATTTAAGCCAAGGAAAAGAAGCCGAGCATGCGGCAGTAAATAGCGAGGCAATATGATAAGAAACACAAACCAAATCATATAGTTTGCTCCATATTTGACAAAGGCAACATTTGATTGGTCAGAGGACCTATATAGTTTTTGCATTTTGAATCCAACTTAGCCCCTCGCTGTCCAAAATCAGTGGTGTTTGGAAATAATGCAGCCAGCCAGTTCATAAGGACAAAAAATCCATCTTTTTTAAGTCATCAACATCAAATTAGTGCTAGAAGGGAGATAAAGTCCACACATCGGCATGTTCAAAACTAATATCAGAACAAATACAACATGAAATAGCTAGAGTTAAACCTAAGGTTCATACAGGGACTCCAGCACAGGCCGTAGCATAGCTATACAAGAGATGCAAGAGCCCTAGGAATAAAGCAATCATGCATTTGTGTTGAGGTGATTGTTTTACCTGAGTAGTACCATGAGAGATGGTATTCTCCCACTTCACTTGTTGTATGCACCCCATGCTGTTTAGCTGTAATCCATCCTGAAAACTCATAACACGATAGTGTGCTAATTTCATGAGTAACTCTCTGGTTTCAAGACTGGATATCATGAAACTGAAGAGTTTGATTGACCACTGTTGCATACCAGACATCAAAGTATGAATAACCATCCAGATGGAGATGGGTAGGTGCGGACATGGGTTTCACTGTTCTGGAAGAAGAAGCATTCGGCACACACCCATGTAAGGTTGTGAAGATGAGCAAGGGTGCCTCGTTCTTTCTTTACCAACAGTTGAAGTAGATCTCGCTGGTGATATTGGGCGCCTTCTCCACGTGCACACTATCTCTTCTGCACCTTTGTGAGGAAAATACACCAGGGAAATAAAGCAAACTGGACCTTGATTATTAATATATACACAAACTGAAACCCTGAAGTCTATTTTTTTAATCCATAGTTTTACATTACCATAGTAGACATTAAGCATTTATATGGTGCGTGCACCACATTCACCAAAGTGTCAGATTACATGATTATATGCTCATCACTATCAATCTGTAAGCAAGCAAATGCGAAACTGGAATCAGCTAGGGTTGAAACAGAAAAGAGCAAGGAAACTGAAATCAAATTGTGCCAGTAACATAAAAAATATAGTTCATGCAGCCGCTCAATGATCATGCAATCACTCTTGATTGATTGGCATAAAAAACATTCGACATCCAAAAATGGTGAAGAAACTACAAGAAAAACATAATAGCAGCATTTTTCGAGGTGCTCATGCCATACAGATTATTTTGAATACAACAGAATCAGATGGCATGCATATTAGGAGGTTTCTCTAAAAGACAAACATCTATGAAGTTCCCCAGCATGGGACAACAAGAGATTCCAGCAGAACAAGAAAACTAATATCGGAACAAGCACATCATATAGGGACTCTAGCATGGGACCATGGCATAGCTTTACAGGCGATAAAATATCCCTAGGAATAGAAAAAAGCATGCATTTGTGCTTAGGTGATTTTTTACCTTGGTAGTAGTGCGAGAGATGGCATCCTCCCACCTTGCTTATTGTATGACCCCTGCTGTTTGGCGTCGACTCACTATAATCCATCCTGAAATTCAGAACATGAGTGTGCTCATTTGCATGAGTAACTCACTAGTTTCAAGACTGGATATCATGAAACTAAAGAGTTCAAGTGACAACGGTTGCATAACAGACAACAAAAAAATTGATGATTTTTTTTAGTTCATTATTAAATCCACAAGCAGCAAATGAAGCCCATGACTCTGTTGGAAATTTGGGAACCACACATGCCAAACCGAGTCGAACAAAATATTTAAGCCAAGGAAAAAACTGAAGACAAACATGTGCCCATGAAAATCTCATTGACTGAAGGAACATCGGGTCACACATATAAATGTGCATAACACATAGAGATGCAGCATTTTTACGAACTTATTTATTCAAAGCATCAATTTGACTCGAATAATATGGTATATTTCCTACTTTCACGAAGACCTTGCACAATTGCTAATGATATCCAGAGTAACCCAGTTCCATTAACTTCTCACCACCCTCTGTAGAATGTACATTTGATTATTTGGTCATTTACTAACCTTTTAGTAATATCTTAGACATCCTAAAAGATGGTGTCAAGGAAATGATTACAAGATAACACACAAATCAGCCATGTGCAGTAACTTGACTCAACTTGGTCATTCATCTGGGATCCAGAAAACATGCGCACAGATCATCAATGGCAAAAATCCACTTTTACAAGTTTCCACTTTTCCAAAAGCTAGAGTCCACCATCATAGAATCAACCACGGCACGATTGCCGGCACACAGAGCAGACATAGCTCGAAGGCTAGGTCTTGGAGCTAGAGGGACATAGGTAAGGACTGAAGAAAACCAGGAGATTACCAGAATGGTTGTAGCCAGGGAGGCAGACATGGGAGCCCACAACATCAAACCGCATATGGACTGCTGGAAGGTCTCGATGTCGAGCGCTATCAGCTATCAACAAAGTACCTAAGTAAACAGTAGGGGAAATCAAATTGTCAATCTGCACACATGAAATTGGGGAACAAAATTGGGTAAGGAAAGGAGTTCATGCTCACCTCACAGCATCTGACGAGGTTCATGGAGGAGCGCATGTAGGGTACGGTGTTGGGCAAGCGAGCAGCGTGCACATGGCAAGAAGCGGGGCCTAACCTCGACATGGCTACAATCGTTGGAAGATGAACCTTAAGGACAGGTAGCCCACAACGGCACCAGTTCCCCCACAACATTGAAATTGAACCGCGGAGCCAAATCCTGCACCAAACTAGCAGAAATACCATTCATTAAAACAGCACATCCTGAGGCCACACGTGACATGCTCAACAAATTTCCCAAGAGAAGAAGAGCTGGAAGGACCAGGAAACGGAGGGTAGTTCCTCACCTGCACAAGCAGCCCGGTGGAGGCGAGCTCGGCGAAGGAAGCAGTGGCCGCCCCTCCTCCTCTCCTAGCGTGGGACTGTGAAGAAGGGGAGGCGTCAGGCTAGCTACGCTTGGTCTTCTTGGGCAGCAGGTAGCACTACTGGAATCAGCTACTTTGTCATCTGCCAGCTCTTTGCCGTTTGCTAGCGGACGGCAAAGAAGCTCTTTGCCATCAGCTACCCAAAAGCTGACGGCAAAGAACTGGCTGATGGCAAAGACCTTCTTTGCCATCAGCCAGTTCTTTGCCGTCCGCTAGGCAAAGAGGGAGGGGGGGACCCACTGACGAGCTGGTTAAAAAAAACTTAACGCCCCCCTCTTTGCCGTCTGCTTCTGCCAGCAGACGCCAAAGAGCAAGTAAGCGGACGGCAAAGGGGGGCGGACGGCAAACGTTTAGGTTACTAACGGCGCCCCACCCCGCCCATCTCTCTCTGTTCCC